GCCCCCCGCCCTTCCCCGAGGCGAGGGGAAGGCGACCGGCGGCGGGTGCGGATCAGGCGGCCAGCGGCCAACCACAACGGCGAGGGCCCCTCCCACAATGCTCTGCGCGCCGTGAGGCGGGTGTTCGCGCCCCGGGGCAGGCACCGCACCGCCTCCGCGACGCCTCAGGGCTGCCCCGGGGCGGGAACGGCGCCCTTCACACCTCCAAAACGCCGTCTTTGTTTTACTAGTACCCCCCATCCACCTATATGGATGAGCGGACGTGATAATTTCACAGGTAATTTGATAATCTGATAAAATCACAGGACTGTGGGTGAAGTGAACCCGATAATGGAGACTGACTGGGAATGGGTATCACCGAAACGGGTATCATACCTTCTTCAGAGCTCTCCGTTACAATACACAGTGGTCTGTAAAATGAGGGTTGTCAGAATTTACTGCAGAATTTAGATACGATAACTTAATATTTATCCTTTCTGAGTAACTCATAGAATCGTAGAATGCTTTGGGATGGAAGGGACCTTTAAAGGCCATCTAGTCCATCCCCCCTGCAATGAGCAGGGACATCTACAACCAGATCAGGTTGCTCAGAGCCCCGTCCAACCTGACGTTGAAGGTTTCCAAGGATGGGGCATCTACCACCTCTCTGGGCAACTCGTTCCAGTGTTTCACCACCCTCATCGTGAAAAATTTCTTCCTTATATCCAGTCTGAATCTACCCTCTTTTAGTTTAAAACCATCACCCCTTGTCCTATCGCTACTGGCCCTGCTGAAAAGTCTCTCCCCATCTTTCTTGTAGGCCCCCGTTAAGTACTGAAAGGCCGCAACGAGGTCTCCCCACAGCCTCCTCTTCTCCAGGCTGAACAACTCATCCTATGCACAGGCTTGTACTCTTCCTCTTTTGGGCTAAATTACCAAGAATACGAGACGTGTGCATGATCAGGGCTCCCCCCCAACCTTGAATTTATATATTGGATTTTATTCTGCATTCCCTGAGAAGAAATCCTCTTAACCAAGACCTTGATACAATATTTTCAAAGAATTTTGTTCAGTAGCCTCCCTCATCTGAAATCACTGAAAAAGGCTTTTTCTTCCAGTTTATATAGTCATAATGTTACAAATACTAATGAGTTACCCTGTGGCAGTTACTTTCACCTATAGTTTCCTGAATAGTCTGACAAATGCCCATAATTAATTGGTCTAGCATCTTACTTGTAGATTATAATCTACAGATTAATAGCTGGGCTAATAGCTAGGTTTCAGGAAGTTTCTCATAATTACCCTGTGTTCAGATTTTTAGCCATATTTATCTTAAAAGTTCCTTCAATTACAGGTCTCGTTAGCTTGCTTGCTCACAGCAAACCTTCCTAGCTGTACGTCACTGGCCCATGTTTCGGTGATTGATAAAAGGAGGTTTGAAACCAGGAGGTTTCTTCTACCCCTACTAACAGATGCCGCACTCCAGCTGTGCTGAAGCAATGTCACTGTGTCACTTACGAATGGGTTCCCAGTGATGGAAGTAAAAAAATCAAAATGCAGTATTGTTTTCTTTGCTCATTCGGAATGAATACTACTGTGTTCAGAACTTTGTGCCTTCAAAATTCAGGCTAGGGTTTTTTTTAAATCTAAAATAACATCACTGTTACTAAAACACTTGTTTTGAAATATTTGTTTTCCTGATGTGTTTTCTTCCTGTCACTGAGGGTTACTGCTGTCTTTAATGAACTGCTCTACCTAACATCTCATTCCTTCAACGTTTTTACTTTTTTCCTTCCAGTCTTGCACTTCTCTGAAAATCCTGAACATCCATCCATAACTTCTGTTGTCACCTCTGCATCTCAGCCCACACACCACAATGCACAAGTGCCGTAACACTTCCCCTCTTGATAGTTAGCTTTTTAGCTATCTAACAGCACATAAAGCTTCACTTCTTGTTTTAATGACCCACAAAATTCTCCTGCCCAAGGACTGGGACCTGCTGTTACCCACTCACCCAACTTGTCTACCATTTCATCTGGCACTTTCCTGAATTAAGTTTCCTGCACACACTGGAAACTCGCTCCTGTTGTCAAGCAGCACTCTCATCTGGGGCTTTCGCAATTTCTGCTTCTCTTTTCCAAAACGCTTTTTTGCAAAAGGAATCCAGTGCTCATGCAGAGCAGGGCATGGCACGCAGACTGAAAACAGCCCCTGGTGCATCCGAAATTGGTGGGAGAAACGGCGTTAACCCCTAACTCAGCAAGTGCTTTGTCCTGCTGCTGGTAGCTGTTAGCCGTCACGGAAGACCGGTGTGCTGCAGGAAGAGCGGTGTGCTGCAGGCGATCTGCACCAGCGATACCTGTGTTGAAGCTCTCCCTTCCTTACCCCAGCACCCCTGGGGGCACAGCAACACCAGGCTGGGGGCATTTAGCCGAGCAGCACTACAGGAATAGCTGTGTCTCCCACCGGGAGGATAAAACAGGCACTGAACACTCGAGCATCCTTTACTTGGTCAGACAACCAAACCTGCAGGTGTGTGAGCGGTGCGTAGCAAGGCCAGGCTCAGGTCACGTGAACCTCAGCACACCGGGTCTGTTCTTCCCTTGTGTGTACTGTCAGAGTGAAAAAATGTGGGTTTATGTAATTTCATGCAGCTTCGAGTCAAAGCGGATGATTGTGCTCTACAACTTTCCTAGCTACAGCTGCAGCCAAAGCAATGTTACCCTTCAGCCTCCTTTTTCTAGTTATCGATGTGCAAGTTCTTTGTGACCAGAGCATCGGGAGATAAATTGTACAAGAAGTACCGAGCACGACACAAGTGCCTGTTTGGGCAAAGTGTCTAACAAACTGAAGTACACACCCCAAATATTATACCCAAACAAAATGTAACCATATCCCTGTGAAAGGACAGCTGCTGTTATTAGGTAATATTCGTGGTTAAAACCAGCAAGAAGTAAAGGACAGGCAGAGCTCCAGCTGTTCACAGGAAAGGCGATTTCATCCTGGAAGTCTACTGCCCAGGGACCATGGCAAGAAATCCTTGGAAATCTCAGAGCAGAAATTTAAACCAGAGTATGTCTTGATTAGATAAAGCTGTTCAGAATGCATAAGAAGTTGTGAAGTTTGCTAGAGCAAACGTGATTTCATGTCACTGTGATGGATCTGCTAAAGAAGTCACATGAAACAGACTACAGAACAGATTACAGAGGCGACTTCTGGGTCATATAGAGTTAATGAATGAATGTGGGAATTAATGAGGGTGCCAAAGTATGCTTCAGAGACGCTTTTGGGAGCTGCTTCCCCAGGTGAATGCGCACCCTTCCTCACCTGCCAGGACATTCCATCTGGAAGTGCTGGATTTGGTTAAACCCCACTTGATTCTTTTAAAAAAGGTCTTTGGCTCGTGGTGGGTTTGGTTTATTCAAGCGTGCTCCCCCAGATAACTTTGAGAGGAGTAGGGAGGTGCCAACTTCACACTGACAACTAGACCGGAAAAGAGAAAATGCTGGGAAAAATCCTGTGGTGATGGGAGCTGCCGTGGGGCAGGAGGAGGGGAGCCAACACTGGGGTCTGCCCGGGCAGCTTTTACCTCCCTCTGCCATCTGGCTTTGGTATTCTCCTGCTTAACGTCAATGTTTTGGTCATTTATCCTTTGCTTCCCAATTAAGACTGGTCTCTTTCCTGTCCCCAGATGACGGCTGTGCTGAAACCTTCCCTGGGGGAGTTGTGGGGCCAGGAGCCGGATGCTGACTGCTGGGGTACAGAGCATTTGGGTACAGAAATGTCTCTGCAGCTGGGAGCAGAGGGCAGCTTGGGAACAAGCAGGCAAAGGGTTTTTTTTTCACATTTCTTCCAAACACATTATATTGAAAAAGTCACAAAAGCAGAAGGGAAAAGAGCCTCCAGGGAGCCCTAACAGATCCCTTGTGGAGCTCTAGCCAACACTTACACTGGTCCTCTGAATGGATGCAGAGCTCCCACATACTGTGGAGGGAAGAAGAATTCTTCTTGGTGAAGAAGATGGGATTCAGGAGCAGCCCTCTTAGAGCTCTCACGAGAAGTGACCCGTGGTCACTCCTTGCTTGTGAGGGCTAAAGCTGAACTCCTTTTAGTCACCGTCCTCTCCTGCCCACCTTGTATCGTTGCTGGAGCAAAGGTGCAGTTTGGGAACTTCTTCAAATGGCTTGAATACCTGTATCTGTTTGAGCTCCCTCAGAAAACCTGGCTGATTACCCTCCTTCTGTCATTTGTTGCTCTCCCTTTCTCTGATTTCTTCTATTAACACATCTTTTCACGACAAAGTCTGCAATACCTACACTGCGAAGAAGAGTTTTTGCTCAGGAACCTCCCAGCAGGCCTCTAGATGAGGATCTCCCCCAACAAAAAAACAACCCCAAAAAAAGCCATGATGTTTGTGGTTTTTTGCTACAGCAGATTTTTTTGATGAGCCCCTTCAACCTCCTCATTCTCCTGCCTCTCACCCTTCCAGCTTTTGGTGTATTTGAAAGAAGCCCCACTATTACACCTTTCAGCAAGTTGTCCCTCAAACTATTTGCAGCCTCCTTTATTGCACTTTTCTGTTTAGCTTGCCACAGTTTTGGACTCTTTTCTGTTGCTCTCACTTGGTCACAACTTCAGCCTTCGTCCAGCACGACCAAGATTTTGTGTGGGAACTAAGGACCGCTGGAGGAAGAAACTGAGCAGAAGTAAGCCCTTGAAAACAGGCCACCTTCATGAGAACGGGTGAAACGGCACAGCAGCCTGGGACTGGAAAAGGGATGGTTTCTTAAATGCACTTCCCTTTGGCTCTATTTGTGAGAAGTTACACGTTCCTTGTCAACACAGAAGACTAAACCAACGGGCCAATTCAACAGTACAGTCTTGGGGTTAAAAAAATACCAAGCCAACAAACCAGAAGGACACTGAGAAGAATTTCCCAGGTAGGAGGCAGAGTCACCCTTCAGGCTAGCCTCTAGGAACTGGTTTGGCCTCTACAAAACATGGTTCTAAAGCATGGCACGATCCCTGCAGCCTGCCTTCCACCCTGCAAGCTTGATTTAAAGCACTGCTTCTCCGAGTGAGAGAAACAGCGGTGCCTGAAGCCTTCAGGAGCCATCCCGCAAGGTCCTCCTCAGGAATCCTGCTTTAACAACTCATGCGTTGAGAAGAGCACCAACAGCTGGAACAGATTTCACTCCTGGCCCGTAGGAAAAGAAATGAGAAAATCCACAACACTTTGCTATAGAAATGGCTCATTCTCA